TTTTTATAAAAAAATTTTTTTTTTAATTATTATTATTATTATTATTATTTTTATTTTTTGGTTTTTCAGTTGAATTATACTTAAAGTTCAGGGTAATCAACTGTTAAAAACATACTGTTCACATTTTTGTTTCAATAAATGGATGTTTTCAAAGTAAATGGATAATCGTTTTGAATAATCGTGATATAAATTATTGACCAAAATAATCGTGATTAGGATTTTTGCCATAATCGCACAGCCCTACTACATTGTGTTATCTCGGTAAAACAGCAGTGGTCAATAACGCACAAAACAGCACATCAGTCGTATCTTTCAAAATTTATTGAAATCGTTGTAATATGATGAGCTCATGGTGGTGAATTGTCGATAACCTTTCATCGGTTACGCCTCGCCAACAAATGACAAACATTGCATACTGCAGTGAAAAATAGTTTAAAAAAAGAAGTGATGACTGCAGGGTTCAGGGAGGATCTCAGCTTGATTCTTTTTTAATGTTTTGAGACTTTGGCTTATGACTGGGAACATTCTGCTCGCTGACAAACTGTCCGAACTCGTGTGTTCTGCAGGGAGATAGCATGTAATGGTGTTTCTATAATAATGTTCAGTGTTGACTTCATGCACCTGCAGAAATCTCCTTCCTCTTCTTACAAAATATTCTACTTCTTCTTCATGGCTTTTTTAAATCACACACTTCCTGTTAAATGTTAACTGATGCAGAGTTTCTCACCCCGGTTATTTTTAGCGTGACTTTCGCTCCGCACGTCTTTGTAAACCGAGTTCCTGTGGGATTTCTGAGCGGTTAAAAATAGCCGCGAGACATCTCAAATAGGACGTTGGGAACTGATGACGTGCTATTGTCTTTATTTTTACATGTTTGATCTATTTTAGTGCACAAAACCTATTATTTACAGGCTGGAAACGTCTCCAGTCGCATTTACAGTCAAATAATGGGACTTACAATCGAATAATAAGGTTAGAAATGTATTCTTGACCTTGATTCATTGAACCCAACGAGCAAAATCCATATATTATTCATTATTTCCAACGTCATGAACACATATTAATGCTCTGTATTTCACTTATAAGTCCCACAATCTGAGTCAAACTGTAATTAACAGAATTGCTTACGCCTGATTGGTAAATGTTGAAAAAGCTGCTTTTATCCGAATAACTGACAAAATAAACACATTTCTGATTCAGATAAAACATTACAGAACATACTGAGGTGCTCATCGGGACAATCCAACATTTGTCGGCAGTTTTACAATCAAAATCCAGCTTTTAGTGGTAAATATCAAACGGAAATCGATATTTAAACCCTTTTAGGTGGAGAAACTCTGCATTGATGGCTTATGTCAGCTGTCACAGATTACTTTATGAGAAATGAACCAGAATATTTCTCCTAATAGCCGGATACGAAGAGTGAAACAGACGTATTTGATAAGCGACTCTCTAATATAAAGCGTGTAATCGTCTGCGTTGTTTTTTTCTACATGGCAGTTTTGAAGCTTGTAAAATAAATTAAACTACAAACACTGGACTTTATTTTGTCGTGAAATGTCCTCTTCAACTTCTGCATATAAAAAAAAAGACTTATTGAAAACATAACGACCCACAGTCTAAAAAAGACTTTACTGTTTTATTGATCATCCGTTTGTTCAGCTGCTCCGATGATATGAAAAACTACAAAAACTTCATTTGGTCCCTTCGTGGTGCACAAATGTTCCAGCTGTGGCCTAAAGACTACAATTTAAAACCACAGACATACCAGCTACCCTGAGTACTCTTTATCATTCAATTTAACGTGTTATTTCTATGTGATTTCATCCAGAAAACACAAAAGAAAGTGTTTAATTTACTCATGTTTTGCTCCCTCGGACCGACTGCATGTTTCACGCGTAGCTTCACGCGTAGCTTCACGCGTAGCATGTTTCACACGTAGCATGTTTCACACGTAGCATGTTTCACGCGTAGCATGTTTCACACGTAGCATGTTTCACACGTAGCATGTTTCACACGTAACTTCACGCGTAACTTCACGCGTAACTTCACGCGTAACTTCACGCGTAGCTTCACGCGTAGCTTCACGCGTAGCTTCACGCGTAGCATGTTTCACGCGTAGCTTCACGCGTAGCATGTTTCACACGTAGCATGTTTCACACGTAGCATGTTTCACGCGTAGCATGTTTCACGCGTAGCATGTTTCACACGTAGCATGTTTCACACGTAGCATGTTTCACGCGTAGCATGTTTCACACGTAGCATGTTTCACACGTAACTTCACGCGTAGCTTCACGCGTAGCTTCACGCGTAGCTTCACACATAGCATGTTTCACACGTAGCATGTTTCACACGTAGCATGTTTCACACGTAGCATGTTTCATGCGTAACTTCACGCGTAGCTTCACGCGTAGCTTCACGCGTAGCTTCACACGTAGCTTCACGCGTAGCTTCACACATAGCATGTTTCACACGTAGCATGTTTCACACGTAGCATGTTTCATGTGTAACTTCACGCGTAGCTTCACGCGTAGCTTCACGCGTAGCTTCACACGTAGCTTCACACGTAGCTTCACACCTTCGTAGGATTTATTTTTAAATCATATTTAAAGGGATTTCATTCAGTTTGTGAAGCGAGCCGAGCACTGGTTGATGACACACCTGATGCACAAAACACACAATAAACCTCCGGTGGAATACAAAATATTAGAAAGCACAAATAATAAATGAATGCACAATTACTCAAATCTTATTTTTAGTGCGCAAAATAACCTGAAAGTGTAAAGAAATTACAAAATCTTGCACAAAATGTGGATAAAGATAATAATGTGTGCATGCATGAGGTAAAACACTTATTTATAAATAACATTTCTGGACTTCAAGAGCTCTAAAATGCCTAAAACAGCACTTAAAGACTTGAATAAATACTTTTTAAATATCCTAAACGAGCACACGTCAAACATTATTTCATGTGTCAGTGCCTTCTGACAGGAATAAGTGCAACTTTTGATTATTTCAGCAGAAAACTGTTGATATTTGTGGATGTTTACCTGACAAAACAGAATTATAGCCAGGTGTAAACAAGCCAGGAAAGAGCAGGAGGATATCCATTATATTCTGCATTTAACGGTTAAAGTGGTCAACACTGGAAGTTGGGATTTGTTACCAAAAGTTGGAAGGATTATTATTTTTCTTAACTTTTGCACTAAGTCCAACCTCCTTCTCGACATTATGGTTTAAAAGAAAAACAATAAATCGTCCTTTTTCATATTTTGTAACGCTTTCAGTTGGATGAGCTCTGCTGGGGTTGAACAGACGAGGAGGAGGAAGGCGTGAGATGAGCTGCGTTGGATCTCTGATCACATTCGGGTGCGGAGAGGTTTTAAAAAGTGACAAACGTTTAGCAGACTCTTCCACTACCTCCTGACTCTGATGCGGCTTTCACACCGGCGCTTTTCACTTTCTAGCTCCTCGCGAGAGCTTTTCTGGTTCAGCTCCCGTTTCCCTTTTCAGCTCCCGCTCTGTTCACACTGCCCAGAGCTGCCGCTGCTGCGTCATGACGTCACAGTTTACGTCGCTGATTTTCTCCCACAACAACAACGGGCCGGGGACTGCGTCGGGTCGTGTTGCTTTTAATCATACGAAGCCAGATTAAATTAAATAACGACTTCTCCAACCTTATACTTTTCTCCAGAGTGCCGTGGTTCATTGTTTATTAATGTGTTTCAGCGGCATTTAGCGACCGCTGCAGTGCTGGCTGCACTTCCACGGGAGTTTATTCTCCCGTTAGCTCCGGGTTAGCTCACACGGCTCTAAAGTATTCACTGTCTGACTGTCACACAAGCAGCTGATACATATCCCCAGTTCCCCTTAAGTGAATGTGTGTCAGTCTGAATTGACGCTGTTTGGCATCACAACGCTGTTATGAAAGTCTCTCTGGTATAACATGGGTGATGTTAGCATAGCAACCGAAGCTAAACTGACTACTTGCTAAGCCGTTTTCTACAGGCACATTTTACCGGCGTATTTTTCATTATGATTCTACTTCTGATAGTCGGACATGACAACCTGTACAGCCCATGTATCTCCACAATGATCAATAACAGCGAACGGATGGTCAAAGTAAGGTTTCCTGCACGCCTCGACGTAAGAGACGTAAGCGACGCCGCGTCATAGCTCCGAAGCTCTTGCCTCTGGACCGACAATTTTTTGGAGCTGGAAGTGAACCGCATTCCGGAGCTATGACGCGCCGCCGCTGCGGTGTGAACAGGAAAAACCGGCGCTTTTCAGGCTCTAGCTCCCAGCAGGAGCTGGAAAAGCGCCGGTGTGAAAGGGGCATGAGAGGCTTTCAGGAGCTTTTCTGTTGGTTTGAAGCAAAGAAACTGGAGATCTGTTGAAGTTGGGTTTCTATAAAGAACCTCCAGTCCAATATTTGGCATTTTAACATCTCACAGTAATCTGAATTAAACCACATCTTCGGGCGGTATTTGAAACGACCTCTTAGAAACAACACATGGCAGTGAGAGGAGAACTAATGGATAAAGAAGATTTAGCAAGAGATAATATCTAAAGATTTACCACTTTGTCAAAAACTGTCTGCTTACCCAAAAGAAAAAGGAGAAAGGATTTGAACATTTGAAGGATAAGTATAGCAACTCCAAAATGTGGAGAAGGCGGTGAAAGGGTGAATAAAGTTAGATAACATGTAGAAGGGAATACTAATGAAATATGAAAGGACTTTTACCCACGAGACCTTTGTGAAACTAACACGTTATTATCTCTGTTTCACTTTCACTTCTCATTTGAACCAGGGCTGGTCAATTCATCGTATTTTAATCGCAATTACGATTATGGCTTGCAACGATTACGAAAACAACGTAATCGAAATATAACGATTATTTTTTTATTATTATTATTAATTTTCTTTTTTTTAATTAATTATTTTTTAATTGTTTTTTCAGTTGAGTTATTCTTAAAGTTCAGGGTAATCAACTGTTCAAACGTTTTTTCTCCAATAAATTGATGTTTTCAAAGTAAATGGATAATCGTTTTTAATAATCGTCATATCAATTATTGACCCAAATAATCGAGATTATGATTTTTGCCATAATCGAGCAGCCCTAATTTGAACCCAAACTGAAGTATATCTGTCACCTTAACCTAAATAAGTCGACTTCAATTCATTCCTTTCAGTGTCTCTTTCACTCTAACAGAGTACAAAGTGTGAATGTTTGATAGAACCCGCACAGGTCCTCAAAGCACCCATTGAATGAGTTGATCACTTGAAACTGAGAGTTATAATTCCCAAAAAACAGAATATGTTTAAAAGCCAGAGGTAAGGAATCCAGACGTATGTACATGATGTACAACAGGTACATTATTCATCTTTTTGACATTAAATCCAACACTCTCCTTTCTCTTTCGGCTGCCTCTCCATCTCTAAATTAATAACCAGTCTCTCTCCTCTCAGCCATGTGCTTCCTCCCTCAAATCCAAACAGCAGCAGCCATTTTGCTGGCGTTCAGAGTGACTAATGTTTCTCTGCAGAGGAGCGTCTCTCTATCTGCAGCAGAAACACATATTTACCCTCCTAACATCACAAAGCCTCTGAGGACGCGTTGGACAACAAAAGCCTGAAAGAACCACAGAGAAGGAGCTTTGAGTCCAGATGTACACACGTACGCATCACACAGACCGTACGCATGTTCCTCTTTGAGAAGGAGCAGACCTGCTGGTTTGCAGCTTGGCTTTGGTCCAAATATCAGAAAATGGCAGTGATTTTGTTTTAAACTCCTGATAAAGAGTAAGAACTGTTAGCTGCCGATGATGCTGCAGATCTGCTCGAGACTTTGAGATGTGTTGTGCTGCAAAAAGGGCTGTAACTGCTTTTAAAAAACATAACCTGAGGTGTTTGCAAACTATAAATGAGGGTCTTGAATGTGATATATCTCAACAAGTTGTGTCAAAGCCTGAGACACATACCCAGTGCCTTCCTTTGTCCTGTTCTCACCACAAAGAGAGAGTTCTGATCAAATGGTCTCACTGAGGATCACTTATATCCAATCAGTGTGAAGAGTTTATAAGATGCTGTAATGTTTCAAGTTTATGTTTTAAACACAAACCTTACTTCTTAGGGAACTTTCAAATGCCTGGTTTACAAATGGAGTTAGGTGCACAGAAGCTAAATCTGTGTGTGCACGATAAGTCATTAGAGCACCACATCTGGATTAATCCACCACTGAAAATAGTCCCAAACAAATGCACTACTTGCTCCTACTTGTCTGATCAAAAACTTTACGACTCTTTTTGAACTATATTTGTGTGTTTTTTACAGATTGACGTCTTCAGTAGGACCACATGAGCTCACTGACAGTTTGGGTCTAAACACGAGATAAAAAGACAATCATCGATACACAGACTTTTGACTTCAATATTTATAACATTCTGGTTACGGCCTTGTCTGAAAACTTCTTGTAAAGATCTGTATTTTTGTAGGAAACTTATAATGAGCCTTTAGGACCTGACGCTGAACTGTAGATATCAGAGGAGCACCTGAACGCAACACAACCTCCTGCTGTTAGCTAATGTAGCTAACGCAAGAAGCTAATTATTTGGGGTAATTTGGGTTCAGAGGAAAATTTAGTTTGTAGATTATCTAACAAACACATCGTGGAGTTTCAGCAGCGACTCTGGACGGCTGATCTAACTTTACTTTGTCAAACTAGTCACCTTTTTTGAGGTACATAAAATACTGGAATGTCGTTTAGTTGCCTGTTTGCCTGCAGATGTGAGAAAAAGAAAGACCAGTTCCTCTTATATTTCCATATCTGTGCTCGTTGTGCAGCCATGTGTCATCAACCAGTGATTTAACGTCGGCCCATTAACAAGGAATCTCTGGTAACTTTATGGACATGTTTTGAGCGCAGGCGCATCGGTACGGACGGACGAGCTGCGTCTGTTTAACGGGAGGCACTTCATTCAATTGTATCAGAGACGGGCTTCAAGGCACTAGAAACTAATTTAAGATATATCTTTGAAATTTGTCAAGATATTACTGCTGTCCTTTTCTTCAAACTGTTTGTAAAAAAAAAACGAAATCGGGTCACATTCACATAAAAATGATCCATGCACTCCGTCATCGAAAGATCAAAGCTTCAAATAAATGAAAATGTTATTTCTGTAGTGTCTTTTTTTTTAAGAGATGGTCAGATATGTCTCTTCTGATATTTGTCTCCTTTGTTTTTTTTAGCAGATTTGTCCCCTCCGCAGTTATCTCCGTCATGCACCGTTTTCCTATCGCTAGCGTGTCGTTAGCGTGTCGTTAGCGTGACGTTAGCGTGACGTTAGCGTGACGTTAACGAGGAGCATCTTCCCCGAAGTCCCTCCACAACTGCAAGCAATGTAATACTGTAGTCATGCATTGAGTATACATAGCTATACCATAGCTAATTAGGCCATAATGCTTTAGTATTTTTGTCATGCCGTGATCTTCGAAAAAGAAGTGTTCCTGTTCCCTTAATGCGTTAAACATTCAACACGTAATGCTCTGAAATAACTTAAAAAAACAATAAATAGCCAGTGCACTTTTGGTGAAAACAAATGAGAAAAAGTATTTCCAGAAGATGAAAAATGAAGAATGAGGTAACGTCTTGTGCATGCCGATATAAGAGAAGAGAGTCTCCACATGCTTTTATATAAAGGAGCGTTGCATGGCCTGTAGCAGCAGAAAACCCTCCGTCAGGCAACACTTCCTGTTTTTCCTCCAATAAGGTGCCTGGAAAAACATCCCAGCTTTTCCCAAAATGTGTCCGCCGAAAGACGGAAAAACACGCCTGATTTTTTTTTACTGTATTCCACTCGAAATGCGCCGTCCTCATAAAACGTGTTGCTCAAATCTCAAATGGGCTTTTTTTTTTTATTGTTGAGTCTTTTGCACAAAGCCTGCGAGGTGTCGGGGAGAGTTTGGGATCAATTCAAGTCAAAATGAGCTCATTTTGACCTCAAATGGCAGTTTATACTTCATATTTGAAGTGCTGTGTGCGTCTATATTCAACCCTATCACTGAAGATGTAACAATGTCTTCACACGTCACACCGCACGGCTGTTTGTGCTAATCAACTTAAGTTTGTCTGTTTATTATTATTATTCCTGTATTTGAAACACATTCCCTTTGAGGGAAATTCAGCTGCACACATTTAAAAATCGTGCTCCTTTTTTCTCTCGTGCTCCATTTGCATCTATATCTCCAGAACAAGATGTTTGTCTCTAAAATTGCATTTGAGAGAGAACAGGAAGTTGTGCTTCATCAGATTAAGGACAGTATACTTTAACATCTTGGTCAGAAATCAACATCCAAGCAACATTGAATATGGCAGTACTGATAAAGGGACACTCCCTGTTTTGTTATTGCATTTCTAGGATGTTTTAAAAAAAATATTGGACCCAAAGATATCCTGACTTCTGTCTAAAGTTTGGTTCCTACATTTCCCATAATGCACCTCCATAATGTCTCTCGTTAGACCCTTCTTGTCCGATAACAGCTGGTACATTTGGTCCAAATTGAAGCAACAAACGTCGAGATAACCTCATATAATTAGTTTCCTAGACAGACTATTATATCTCCTAGTTTCTAGAAGAGCAAGTTGTTTTGTCAAAGATATTCACAGAGAGAAGCATATCTATATCTGAGAGGCTGGAAACAGCATTTTCTGACATTTCTGCATCAAAACCTCTGATAATAGTTTCCTGTTGGTCAACATATTCTCACAGCTCTTCTAACACTCATGAATAATTAACCCCGAATCCTCCCCCGACACCTGCTGATATTTTGCGCTATTGCCAAAGTCTTATAGTTAGAAGTGTTCCTCGTGACATAACTACCTTGTTCTCTATAAATGAAACAATCATGTGTGTCTCCTTTTTGAAAGTCTCCAAACACACACACATGTCTTTTGAATGATTCAATGCAAAAGAAGAGTCAAATGCACCAATGGAGATAAAGCATCGAGGTTATTTTTCTACAATATTTACAGCGGTGCGTTCACTCGTCTCCCGGCCTCACACGTCGGTGAGGAGCTTCGTCTTGTTCACGCAGTTTTGATTTGGCGCCGTGCAGTTGGCAGTCCTAAGGTTGGCTTCTCTAAAGTTATCGATGCTGTTCTTCATGTCCTCGTCTATCTCCATGTACTCCGACTTGCTGACGGCGGACGAGCTTCTGCGGCTCGAGTTGGTTTCAGACGCCAGATTCTGGTTGCTGACGTTGAGGAGCTGCGCCTGCTCTTCGCCCTCCGTCTCACGGTGGTAGAAGTAGTTGAAGTTGGACACGATGACAGGAACGGGCAGAGCGATGGTTAAAACTCCGGCGATGGCGCACAGCGAACCCACGATCTTTCCTCCGATCGTCACCGGGTACATGTCTCCGTATCCCACCGTCGTCATGGACACCACGGCCCACCAGAAGGCGTCCGGGATGCTCGTGAAGAACGACTCTTTCTCCTCGGCCTCGGCGAAATACACGGCGCTGGAGAAGAGGATGACTCCGATGAAGAGGAAGAAGATGAGCAAACCGAGCTCTCGCATGCTGGCTTTGAGAGTTTGCCCCAAAATCTGAAGACCCTTTGAATGCCGAGACAACTTAAAGATCCTGAAGACCCTCACCAGGCGGATGACTCTCAGAATAGCCAGAGAAGTTGCCTGTTCTCCGCTTCCTTTCCCCACCTCGTCCGGGTCCTCTGCCAGCTCCGTGCCCAGCGTGATGAAGTACGGGATTATAGCCACGATGTCGATGGAGTTCATCATGTTTTTAAAGAACGCCGCCTTGCTGGGGCACGCGAAAAACCTTACAATCAACTCAAAAGAAAACCAGATGATGCAGAGCGTCTCCACCACGAAGAAGGGGTCGGTGAGGAAGTTGGGTTTGTAGTAAACGGTGGTGTTTCCAACGATCCTGATCCTCTGGCTGGGGTCCTCCTTCAGCTCGGGTAAAGTCTCCAAACAAAATATGACTATTGAAATAAGAATCACCATGACGGAGACGATGGCGATCCCCCGGGCGGGCCCTGAACTCTCCGGGTGCTCGAAGAGGAGCCAGATCTGCCGCTGGAACTCTTTCTCTGGCAGCGGGCGCTCCTCCTCGCGGATAAATCCCTCGTCCTCGCGAAACTTCTCCATGGCCTCCGCGCCAAGTTCGTAAAACTTAATCTCCTCTGAGAACATATCCAGCGGCACGTTGACCGGCCTCCGTAGCCTCCCCCCGGACTGATAGTAGTACAAGATGGCGTCAAAACTCGGGCGATTCCTGTCGAAGAAGTACTCGTTTCGCAGCGGGTCGAAGTAGCGCATCCTCTTCTTGGGGTTCCCGAGCAGCGTCTCTGGAAACTGAGCCAGCGTTTTGAGCTGCGTTTCAAAGCGAAGCCCCGAGATGTTGATGACGACGCGCTCGCAGCAGTCGTGGTCGTCGTGGTCGTCGTCGGGCGGGTACAGGTCCTGCGGGTGGCCCGGCAGCGTGGAGGTCTCGTCCATGTTCTCGCAGGAAACCACGGTCATCCTGACGGTCGGGCGGGGACGAGGAAGAGGAGGGAGCGAGAAGGTGAAGGACAGCAGGTCGAGGAGCAGGAGAAGCCTCTAGTGAGGCCGCGAGCTGAGCACATTCTCCCTCTCCGTCCCCTCCATCTTCTCCAACATCTTCTCTCCCTCAGAGCCTGCAACAGGAAACCAGAAGGGACAAAAATGGTTTCTCTGCAGGAGAGAAAAAACACCATGCAGTACTGGAGCTGTATTTTTTTTTTACCGCATACATCAAGTTTGCTGCGCTGCCTCTGCGCAATGCAGTCTCATGCATTCACCCACTCATGAACACACATATCAAAGCTTCATCAGGGGTAAAACACCAACCTGTGCTGAGCTTCAGGGCAGCAGATGGGAGGGAGCTTCACACCTTTCCCCCTTTCACTCCGGGGTTTAATCCCGATGTGGTTTCACAGTCAAAAGAGGAAAGAATTATGTAGTGTTGCTCCGTGTCCTGTTGAGTCCGCGGGAGGAGGAACTCACACCGAGCTGCGGAAACCCGGACGGGAGGATTAGCAGAATCATGCTGAGATTAAAAACAAAGCGGACAAACAGCGCTGCTCCCAAAGTACCGGGAGGAACCGGGAGGAACGGGAGGATCCTGCAGCATCAGCACAAACACAGCCTCTCTCACGCTGCGGAACAACACCAACAAAAAAAAGCCCAAATAAATCCCGGTGTGTTTTGACGAGGTTCAAATCCCGACGTGAGGCGACTCACCGGACAGGATGTATGTTCGGTAATTTAGGAGCATATTGCAGGATTTCATGTGGAGAGGACGGAGTGAAGGAGGGAAGGAGGGAGGGGTTAGGAGGGAGAGTGAGGGGGGGGGGGGGGGGTTTCGACGCAATGCAGACAGACTGTAAAACACAGTTGGTGCTACAGTATCTGAACAACCTGCTCTCCTATACAGCAGGTTCTAAAACACACACGATTCATTTTAATTAGCTTATTAGACAATATAAATGTTATTTAAGCAGCACTGCATCATGTTATGTAACCCGTTCAATAAATAAATAAATGAATATGTGTGTGTGTTGCTGCAGGCAGGTGGGAACACACACTCCTGCTGGTGGTTCTTTCATTTTTTTCTTTCTCTCTTTTCTGCAGCAGGAAGCGGCTCACACACGTTTATTGGCTGCTGAGCACTTTGCGACAGTCAGAGCTGCGTGTTGGTGTAAATACCACCGGTGTTGCTATGGTAACAGGGAGAAACCAGCACAGAGATTTTTGTATTTATTTATTTGTATTTAATGATTCATGTTGGTCATGTGTGAGGACTACAGTCCAGCTAGAAACCGATTTGTATATTTATTTCTTTATGAAATATTTATTTTATCCAGTATTTAATTTTTTTAACATAATTGTTTTATTTATTACATTATTACATTACATTACATTACATGTTACTTGTTAGACGCTTTTATCCAAAGCGACTTACAGACTCAATACTGTGGGCAATCCCCACAGGAGCACTTTGGGGTGAAGTGTCTCAGGGACACAACGACATGCTGACTGCAGTGGGGTTTGAACCTGTGACCCCCTGATCCCAACACCTACGCACAACCCACTGCCCCACACACCTATTATTTCTTTTTTATTGCAGCAAATTAAAAAAATTATATAAATAAATATTTGTCTTTATTGCAGCACGTTTCAAAAAGAAGCTATTGTTTGCAAGATACATTATTTCGAAAAATATATACTTGTTGGTATTACCTATTTGCATACCTAAGAAGCATACAACAAATATTAAAGATAACAATAAAAAAACATAGCTCTAATCCAATCCACTTTATTTCTATAGCACATTTTAAAAACAGAGGGTTTGCCAAAGTGCTTCACAGTGAACATAACATTATAATAAAATATAATATTACACGAATAGATACAAGGCACACAAAGGGACAGACACTAAAGCATAGAATAGGTAGAGCTCAGACTGACTCATGAGCGAGGGAAAAGAGGTGGGTCTTCAGGCGGGACTTAAAAGCTTCAAGAGTGGGCGACAATTTGACATGGGGGGGGGGGGGGCGGGGCAGGTCGTTCCAGAGCCTGGGGGCTACCGCTGAGAAGGCTCGGTCTCCCCTGTTCTTTTTCTTTGTTTTAGGGACTACCAGCAGCAGCTGATCAGCCGACCTCAAAGCCCTTGAGGGGGTGTGCACCTGTGGGAGGTCGGAGATGTACTGAGGGGCCAGCCCATTAAGAGATTTATAAACAAACAACAGAATCTTATAATGAACTCTAAAATGGACACGAAGCCAGAGGAGGGAAGCCAGAGGAGGGAAGCCAGAGGAGGGAAGCCAGAGGAGGGAAGCCAGAGGAGGGAAGCCAGAGGAGGGAAGCCAGTGGAGGGAAGCCAGTGGAGGGAAGCCAGAATAGGTGTGATGTGCTCGTGCTTGCGTGTACCTGTAAGCAGCCGAGCCGCAGCGTTTTGTACCAGCTGCAGGCGTGCCAGCGAGGTCTGGTTTAGGCCGGAATAAAGTGCATTACAGTAATCTAGACGAGTGGAAACAAAGGCCTGAGTTACACGTTCAAAGTCTACAAAGGATCAAACCAGTTTGATTTTGCAGAAAAGTGACATTTTATAGCTTTTAAACATAACTCTATTGTAAATATTTATATTTTGTATTTGGTATGATATTATAAAATGTAATATAAGATAATATATGGAGGATTAATCCTGCCAAAAAAAATGGCATGATAAATGAAATAAGTTATTAAATGTATATATATTATTTTTAAATGTGCTTTTTTATATCCCTTTCAAATTTGTAGTTTTTTTAACAAAAAGATAAAATCGTATTTATTTATTTAATCAAATTTTTCAATGTTTTCAAATATAAGTATTAATTATTACGTGTTTGTATATATTTCTGCATTTTTCCCAAACCTCTGAAGTCGACCTTCATCGAGCGTGATTCTGATAACGGAGAACCCGGGAAGGATTGACTTATTCCTGCTTAAATTATAAAAACCCGAACCCCGCTCCGAGGCTTAATTTATCTTTTATTCTCCGGAGACGGGAAGTCATCTGACCTTCACCGAGAGGAAGGTTCAATCCATTTACAGCTGGAAAAAGATATGGAAATAAATACATTTAAAATGTCACTTTTTATTATATTTCTTTTACAAAATGTTACTTTTCTTTTTACCCAAGGAATCGTCTGGACTTCAGCACCAAGGACACCAAGGACCAAGGACACCAAGCACCAAGGACACCAAGGACCAAGGACACCAAGGACCAAGGACACCAAGGACCAAGGACACCAAGGACCAAGGACAGCTCCACGCCTTCAAAGAACCCTGAGATGTTTTCCCCTTTTATATTTGATGCTCACAGATATTATTATGCTTCTAATGCTGGTTTAATTATAATTCTATTTTGAGATGTTTATATCTTAGAATTGTTTATTTCTACTCTTTGAATTTGTTATTATGTGCAATGCCTTGTTTGTTTTATGCTGCAACAAACATGTTAACGAAATTGGGATCAATAAAGTACATCTTGTCTTATTTTATCTTCTTCCTGCATCCATGTGTGTGTGCAGCAGATGGTGAGCAGTGTGTGTGTGTGTGTGTGTGTGTGTGTGTGTGTGTGTGTGTGTGTGTGTGTGTGTGTGTGTGTGTGTGTGTGTGTGTGTGTGTGTGTGTGTGTGTGTGTGTGTGTGTGTGTGTGTGTGTGTGTGTGTGTGTGTGTGTGTGTGTGTGTGTGTGTGTGTGTGTGTGTGTGAGGCGAGCAGCAGATGGACGTCCGCTGCAGAGCTGGACCCCGACCAGGAACTCCCAGAAAATCAAATATAACAAAATATACTATTGGGTTATATATTGGGTTAGCATGTACATAATCCGACTTTAAAGGTCACCTATCATGCTATTTGTAGGCAATAGCATAGGTCTCAGATATATACAAATATATAAAAACATGTCTATGAAGTGTTTTGCTCAAAATACCAAACACATCACCCATTCTAGCCATGCCTCATATCCCTCTGTTTCACTTCCTGTTTCTAAAGTGCTGATTTGGGTATAAAGCTTAAAAAAGGAGGGGTCTGAGCTCATGAGGGACCCGGCAGCTACCGTCTAAACTAAATACTGCCGTGATGAAAGCCATATCATGGATTATCAAGGATTCTCTCTGAAACAGTATGGAGCTCAAAGGCTTTCTCTCTTGCCGGTTATACCACAAGGTGAGTTCCTTTTTATTTCCTGCTTCTTCACACACATGCTCTCCAGTACAGGTTAGCTCTGAGTGTTAGCGATGCTAATGTAAACACCGACCATATTACGTCCAAAACAGTCGGGCATTGTTTCTGATAGCAACGTTTCTGATAGTGCCGTGGGTCCACATTTCAGATATTACGTCATATCGGACGCAAATCTGTATCAGCTCCGTTGTTCCCCCGTTTTTAGAGATTTGGGTACGGAGGAAAAGAGAGAGGGTTTTATTTTCTGACGCTGCGTGAGTTCCCCGACACACCGGGGACACATGTTGATGAAGAGAAGACATCAAAAAGTGACTTTTGCATGATAGGTCCCCTTTAAGGCTTTTTTTCAAGCATAAAGAATACATAATAAAATAATAGAAAACTACGTGTTGTTCTATATATAATTGAGTTTTCTTATCCAATATTCTTTTAATGTCCAATTCAGGGTATTTAAAAACAAATGGTGTTTTTAAACACCCCCCCCCCCCCTGGAGCGGAGCAAGGCAACGAAACTTACTGAAAAGCAGCATTTTACAGCGCGCTATGCATGGGGCCCCCTTGAGGGGGTTTCCCGACATGTCGTTGCAGTAAATTAAAGGGTGTTTCATGTTGTCGTTGCTGTGGACCTTCCTAATCTACCTTCTTTGGGGGCCCCCTTCTGGTCCGGGGCCCCAAGCAGTTGCCTGCCTTGCCTGTTCGCAAGGAGCGGCCCTGTGTCTGATCTATATGTGTAGTCAGTGTCACAGAGTCAGTTTATCCCTGTTAGGGTCCGACAGCTGGAGGAGTTTCTGCACGTCGCGAGAATTCCTGAAGTTCAGTCTAAAAAAACCTGGAAACACACAAATCAAATTGCTCCAGAACGTCCTCCTGAGCATCGAAGCCTGCCCCTCAGGTAAATGTCTGAATGTGTTGTGTGTGTTCAGCCATGCATGAAGAGCCAATCTGCACATTCTCCATATGTTACGGTGACCTTTGACCCCGACAGTTTAATTATGATAATCCAGATTGACTTAAATTAAGCTAATGTGTGAACAGATGCTTGTCTCCATGCTTTGATGTTCAGAAAGCTGCAGCACCTCTTTTCACCCTCTGTCTGAAACCAGAGCCCAGTCTGCTCTGATTGGTTAGCTGGCCGGCTCTGTTGTGATTGGTCAACTAGCTTAGAGATGTCCCGCCCCTCAGCCTATCACGTACAATGTGGTGGAGCGCTAGCCAATAGGAGACTTCCAACAGTGTATCGAACCGAAGCATTACCTCCGCCATAAAGATCAATCTTTTCAGTTGGTTTGTCCGATGTTAATGAAAATTGGTCGAACCATGACACATGGTCCAATAAAGAAACCAGTACAATTTGGACTGGATCCGTACATTATTTTTCATTTTATTACCATTGTGTGATGGGCAGTTTGGCCTTGGCGACCCTCTAATTCTCTGTTTTGTGAACCAATCAGAGACAGAATTAGGACAAATGTTCCTCTAAAAACAAAGGAAACAAATGCTTCACAATGGGGGGGGGGGGGGGGGGGG